TGTGTCTGGGGCGGGTTCTAAAGTGTGGGGAAACCCGCAGCCTGGATCCGGCTGAGGCTACAGGAAGGAATCTTGGCTGTCAGGAGGAGGACTTCTTGCTGGGGCCATGTTTACAGAAACTTCCAGCAATCGGGAAAGGGTCAAGGAGGAAGAGCCTCCTTCCTGTAGCAGTGGACAGCAGGACAGGATGGAGCCTCACACTCTCCCTCTAGTGCTCTCTATGCGCAGAGCCACCAGGGAGTCCCCAGAACCCAAGCGCCATTTCAATGTCAGGCAGTACTGCAAAGCTGAGTTTCAGGATGTGGTTGGGGCTGAAATATAATCACTTCATAATGGATGGTCCCTGGGAAGTGGCAAGGGACTTTGGGTGCCAGGCTGGGCTGATGCCCCAGGACACAACTTTGGCTTCTAAAAGAAGCAAGGAATGATCATGTCATGATCTGATCCAGCCCTTGCACAAAGTTAGAGTTTGGGCATCACAACATTTGCAGGAGGAGGTACCTAGCTGGGTATTTCACTAAATCTGATTGATTAGGGTCATCATTTTAGTAAAATAAGTGAATGTCATTATGTGTAAATTTTAATAAAAACTCTGATTTTAATTTTCTGAGATGAGTAGGAAATGAATGGTCCTAGACTTTCTATTGACAGCTAAGGCCATTCCAACCAAGGCTGGTGCTCAGGCAGTAGCCCTCGCCACTTGACGAGAGATGGCCCTGAACAAAGGCACAGCCTCCAAGGGGGATGGATCAATCCAGTGCATGAAACAACCCCCAGAATGGCATCCTCAAAATTTCTTTGCCACAGGCAGAGGAATCTTGCCATCAGAGGACACTAGTACCTGGAATTTCAGATAAGAAGTTGACAGTAGGAGAGAGTTCACACCATCTAATTGCCTTTCTCTGGGTTTGTTTATATTATAGAATCTGAAGTTTCTGGGTCCCAACTCAAAACTCCGAATCCTTGTAGAAGTCTCCAGATTGCTCACCAACCCAGTTCCTCCCCTGACTTTCCTCCTGTCAGTTACCTCAACCTCATAGACCAGGCTGAACCAACTCGCTCTGGCACACCCCACCTGGGTCAATGAGAAATACCTGCCTGCCTTTTGCTCCCTCCTGACCAATACTAAGCCACCCAAGAAGAACCTCAGAGCACTGACCTTTTCCAAGTTCATTCATAACTACACCTCAGAAGCACACGGCAGAATCATGGCATTTGTCTGACTGTAACTAGATGACTCGGGAAATACAGTCACTGTAAAATAGTACATGGCTCTTAATTCTGATTCAGGAAAGATGATTCCATTTGCCGTAATATGCCTGGTGAGGCTTCTGACATTCCTTGCATCGAGTTATATGTCCCTCCTTGTCAACAAAATTTCCTCCTCAGTCCAATCTGTGATTTGAAAGCAAATAAATAAGTAGTTCAAATATTTTAGAGAGGGAAGAAATTATAAGCCCAAATGGTTTGGCTTGAAATCCAATCCACCAACCCTTTCTTTCCTTGACTCCTTCAAAATTTTGCAAAGCCAGATCCTCTGGGACTGGCCAGGGAGGAGGAATTTCCGCTTCTTTTCAGAGTCTATTGGGAATCACAGGAAGCCTGCGATCTCTCTGCCTGGGTTGCTGGGGGCTCACTCTCAGTAGGTGCTGCACTGGGGTCATTTGGATGCAATTAATTGAATGTAGAGCTGTTTATCTCTGTGGGCACATGAACAGGACTCAGGGCTATTCTATTCTATTCTATTAACACAGTTGGTCTATGATTTTGCTTCTGTCCTCTTTAGAGTCGAGTTTTCTTGTTGCTAGGTTACAAAACTAATATAATAGTAATGCTTATGATTTCCTGGATTCAAGTTCTACTTCTCCAATTCCTGCATGATCCTCTCAATACCTGAGTTTCCTCCTGTGGAGATCTGGGATGGTTAGGACAGAGCCAGTGGGTATAAGGATTCAGGGAGATGGTTGTGTTGAGCCTCGGGAGCTTCCCATGACAAGTAGTCAAGGAGTGCTGACCATGGCTTCTGTCTTCCGTCCCTGCTCATCTACTACTACTATGGAGGATGGGATTACATTCTCACTCTTGAACCATTTGCATCCCCTGTTGTTGATTATTCATGTAAACAGAGCCACGTGTGCTATTGCTAACTCATTAGCAATCAAGATGCCATTTTTTAATTTTTAAAATACGGTTAGCTCTTTGTTTTGCGTAAGTGGCTTGGCAAGCAACCACTGTTGCCTTCACCTATGGACGTCCTGCTCTTGGATAGTATTGCTCTTGGGGGGCTAATGTGGCACAAAAACCTGTGGAAAGGTGAAGAGCTAGAGTGTAACCTTCATGAGGACAGGGACGAAGCGCTCGCCCTACCCTGTATCTCCTGGACATAGGACAGGGCCTTGTCCATGGTAGACACTCAATAAATATGGATTAGGTGAACATACAAATGAACCAAGGGTGAGAACTTCGTCCACGCAGTTCCTGTGGGTTCCACCAGAGAGAAAGTCGTTTCACTGTATCCCCGAAAACGGACCTGGCTCTGCCCATTGCACAACCATGAGGTCCGTCCCTTGGAGCCAGGGCCAGGTCTCAGGGAGTGGGGCCACGTGGTGATGGGGAACATGCTGCCTTCTATTTGCAGAGGAGAACACAGGATGGGAAGTGACAAAGCATCAATGTGTGGACATAGGCAGGAGCCGAGAGGCCAGTGAGCTGGGCAAGGGGCCAGGAAAGTGTTCCCAACTCTTTGGGGCCACAATAGACGTAGTTATTGAATAGTCTGAGACTTCTATTTTGAACATTTTTCTGTTTTAAGCCTGTTTGTGTTTTCCTCAAGTTATTCCCTCATTGCTCACCCATAGCTTGACTCTGCCAGTGCTAAGGAGAGCCAACCAAGAGTCTCGGGGCTGACCTTTGAAGGGAATCTGGGGCGCGGGCTTGGGGGACACTGTGACGGGGACCAGGAGAGAATGTTGCGGGAAGCCTCTGCTTGTTCTGTTCTGTCACCTCTTCCCACCTGGGGACTCATTCCAGAGCTGGTTTCTGCCAAATCCTTGTGTTATATTTGAACAACAAAGCGAGTTCCCTTATGATTCTCCTGGCCCAGAAAATAGCCACTGGGAGGACCTCGACTTCTGGCCCTGAGAGAGAATTTCCCAGAATTACTCCCCCTCTCCATAACCAGGAAATTGCAAATTGTACGGACTACTTGAAACCTATCGTTTCAGACATCGGACAACATGTTGCAGAAGACTGTGGTCCCTGAGAAAAGGGGGACGAGTGAGGGGAGCCCCACCTTGGTCTGGGTTTTCTGTCTCACTGGGAGGGGCCCAGGTCCAGCAAACCACCGAGTGAGGAGGCAGACAAGCGAGGGGAGAGGCAAGGGCACCATGATTTGCCCAATCTCTCAGGACCTGCAAGAAGGGAATGGTGCAGAAGAAGTTCCACAAAGGTGCCTGGGGGTCCCCTTCAGTCTTGGGCTCAATATCCATTGCTCATGTGTGAACCCCACGGGGCTGGGAAGCATAACTTCTAAGAAGAACTGTCACCAGAGCCTGCACAGCCTCCAGTCAGAGTGGAAAGTCTTTCCTGAAGGCTCCGTCACCTTGTCCAGAGGGGTGCAGAGGGGAGAGGAGCCAGGCTCAGTCAGGCAGAGCCTCCCTCAGCTCCAAGAGGTGGAGGCAGGAGGGGAGCCGGAGGCCTGGGGAGGGGTCGTCCATGGAAGGTGGGGGAAGGCCACTCTAAGGACAGGAGTGGGTGATTTATGCACCCAGCCTTTACAGAAATGGTAGAGTAACGGATCTTTTTGTCATCAAAGTCACTGAAGAAACTAGCGTTGGTACCTGTGGCTGAGATAGTTGTCACTCCTCACGTCAAACCTCGTCCACGAAGTGGCTGTGTTTAGTGATGGTTCGGGGGATGCAGAGCAAGGTCTCATGGTCACAGATTGTGACGGCCATTGTGGTGCCTTCTAGACAACAGAGAGGGAGTAAAAGAGGACTGCTGTCCTCCGTCATGGGCTGTGCACAGAACCAGAATCACACGGAGGGCTGCACTGCCAGGCCTTTGGTGGGGGCACCTCTTGTGTGGATTTCTAGAACAATCAGCCTTTCTGCCAGCTCAGCAAGTTGTCGTGGCCCATAGCACACTTAATGTGAGGTTTTCCCAGAGGTGTCAGCTCCGAGCCTGTGGCCAGGGCGACACAGTGACCAGAGTCTTCCACACACGTGGCCTAACTCTCTATGACCTTCTGATGGTAAATGCAGCTCTCCCCATTGAGAGCTCTGGAGATGGGAGGAAATGCCGGTGGGCAGGTGGTCTTCTCTTTATTGAATTCAAAAGCAGTTCTCTCCGGCAATCACTTGTGATGTTCTGCTTGAGACCTGTTTCCTTTGGATTCCCAAACAAGGCTGCAGACATCAAGTTCTGCCGAGGTTTGCCTGTGTTCCCCTAAAGTTCGATGTTGGAACTTCAATTCCTCAAAGTGCAGCATTGGCAGAGTTTGGGTCACAGGGTCAGAATCCTCATGGATGGATGGATGCCTTTCTCCCACAAGTTCTCTCCCTTGTAGGACTGGCGTAGTGACTGCCAGACTGGTTTGTTATAGAGCAAGTCCATTTCTCGTGTTTTGTCTTTTGCATGCACCTGCTCACCCCTGAGCGGAGGCAGTTCAAGTCTTTCACCAAGTGTGACTGTCTAATTTTAGAGTTCCCAGTCTCTAGAACTGTGATCCCAAATTAATCTCTTTTCTTTTATAAATTCCCCAGTCTCGGGTGTTCTGTTATAGCAATAGAAAACAGACTAGGACATGTTCCATAAGGCTCTTGGTCCAGATCCTTCTGTCTTCCAGAAGTAGTCAAGCAGCTTTTCATAGACAGCCCTTGTTACCAAGCCCTGCTGGAAAATGATCAGGCTATCAACCTCAGAGCCCTCCCCACACTCCCTGGGTTTTCATGAGAAAAAAAAAAAAAACATGATGGAGAAGATATTGGTGACATGTTTTTCACTTTATTGAAATTCTTTCTTACAAAAGGTTTGATATATTTTAGGCCAGGCCTAATTTCCTTTAGTCCCTGAAATATACAGGTCCATGGTCAGTTCCATGTCCTCTTAGGTAGGTATGTAAACTAGCCGACTTCTATGTTTAAGGTTCAAACAGTTTTCAACATTGTTTTTATTTTATTTAAAACAAGATGTGTGTTTCCCCAAATGAAAAGACCAAGTAAAAAATTTATCTGAGTCTTCACTGGTGGGGTAACAATTTCTTTGCTAGAACTGAGTTGTGAATTCTTTTCAAAGTGACATCTTTCCACCTTTAGTATTTTGCTTTAAATGCAAACTTTGCAATGAGCTGAGCTATGTAGTAAGGAGTGCTGTGTTTATATATGCATACATATATTGGCTCTGGGAAAAGATGCATGAGCACATGCGTGTTATGTAAACATAGCAACTGATCAGAAGGAGAGTCTCTGATCCTTAGGACACTGGTGAATAACAAGCATACTGTAAGCAAAGAATGACCAAGGGCACATATTGGCTTGGTTTTCAGCCAGGCCTTTGCTGGGCCTATGCTTGAAGGGACCCAGGTCTCAGTTTCCCAACACACAATAATGCTCACCTGAGGTGACAGGCGATCGTGTATCCAACTATGAGTTTGTGATTCCTCCAAGGAGAGATGGAGCTGAAAGTACTTGCTACCAGGTAGCAGCCCCCAGCCCCAGAACATGGCCCAGTCCAACCTCCTCCTCATGTACACTTCAGAGTCTGACCTCCCGATCACCAGGAGGGGACAGAGATTGCAGATGAGTGGAGGGCCCTGGCCTCTCACTCCCCTGGAAATTATAGGGAGTCCTCACTTCCTTCCATCCTATAAGATCTATCAGGACTTGTGTCCCCTGACCACAGGAACACACCTGAAGAGGCCTAGAAGGTGCAATGTCACCACCTCCTAACAGTTCTGAGACACACTCGACTTGCCTTTAACCCTGACTGCCCAATGACCAAGCGGTGACTCAAGTTAACATGGGCGCTCACCCTCCCAGTCAGCCCTTCACATCTGTGTGGCTTTCTAAGCACCCGTGTCTCTGGCCCAAGCTTCTTGCTCAGGCCTTCCCAGTGGGAACTTGGCCTCAGCACTCTCAGTTTCTGACTTGAAGGCCAGGTGAGTGCTACCTGGAGGCAGTACCTTACCTGGACTGACATGCCTTGTACCAATGTAGCAAAATGGATTGATTTAGCACCAAGGTACTATGTAGCCCACCATGGTAGTCATTGAATAAATGCTGGTTTCAGTCCCCTTCTCCAGCTCCAGCTGGGCTTCTGCAGGAGTCTTGCATTCCCTCTTGCTCCTACAGGTGGCTTCTCCTCTATGTTCCCTCCCAACTAACCCCTTGTGCGTGGAGGCAGAGGAAAGAGGGGAAACCAAGTCATTCAGGATTGCCTCTTGCTGGGGAGGCAGATATTGAAACTCGTGGCCTAAATGAGGCTTGGGAATTATCTGAAGAGTCAGAGATCCGTAATACCGCCCATCTCCACTGCCATATTTGTCTCCGATATCTTCTCAGCATTCAAATGTAACCAAGAGACTGAAGGGAACGTGGATACGAGGCCCTGTGGATGGCTCAGACGGCTGAGCAAACCGGTGGTCCAGTCGACCAGGGCTCCCCAAGCAGGAACCCTGGGGGGAGGGAGACAGAGCCCACAGAGCCCACAGAGCACTCGAGCAGATGTCAGGAAGGAGAGTGGCAAGTCACATGGTCCGGGGATAGGGCTATGGGGGCTGGGGATACTGGACCGGGCAGAGCAGAGGCACAGCCAAGGTAGCTCCAAGCGATGTCCCTATCGCAGAAACGCAGGAGCAAGGCTTGGTGACAGGGCTTGACCTTGGGCTGTGCCCATTTTTAGTGTCTATAGCATGTCACCCCAGCATCCTCAGCGTGTCCACAGTTTGTCACCCCCCATTTGGAGAAGCTGCAGCGGAAGATGGTTTCCTCTGTGCCCTTGCAGGCGACGTCATCCATCCAAATCCTCCCTGTGCCTGTGGAGACAGGTCAACATGGCTTCTTAGCAGGGGTGCAGGAAGCGGGAGGAGACGGGGCATGGTTCTGCCTGCCCTTGACAGTCTGTCCCTGACGGCCCTGTAGGCACTTCTCAGATCTGGGGCTTCCTTCTGCCCTTTCCACCCCACCAAAAACTCATGCTTATTTCTAGGCTCAGTTTCTTAGGAGGAGAATAATAATAATTGAGGTGACGACATTCGTATCTCCTATGTGTCAGGCATCTTGCACATACCTAGTTTCCTCTGTCCTCACCATGCTGCTTTGAGGTAGGTATTAACAAACACCCATTTTATAGGCAGGGAAACTGAGCTCAGAGAAAAATTGGTGCAAGGTCACTCAGTCACCCAGCTTATAAGTGGCAGTGTAACCTCAAATTCATGTCTTGCTGCCTCCAGGATCACGCTTTGTAAGACACCCTGCAGAGCTTGGGAGTTATAGCAACATGAAGCCTTTGTTGGTAAATAGTGAGGCAGGGTCTAATCAGGGGACAGTATCAGCCAGACCCTGGATTGCCCCAGTGCCCCAGAGCCAAGTTTGTCAATACCAACATCACTTCCAACCTGTGAGCATTAAGGCAGATGGTCCCATTCTGTGAGCCCAAAACACTGATTCTGGAAGGACAACAGACCCCAGAGTTTAACATTTCCACCAGATATACATTGGAGGATATTCAAGAGCATCCTTAAACCATAAGTAATCAGGTGAGGTCTCCAAATCCAAGGTTGGTGAGGCAATCTCCAGCCAGCCCTGTCACCCTGCTAGTCTGAAGGTGCCCATGGGTGGAGGGCCTGGTGCCTTAATGAGCTCTCCCAGGATTGCGTCGGGGCACAGACTAGCAGACTTGGCACCGTGGGACCTCAAGGAACTTAAAGGGGCTAAACCAGGGAAGCCAGTGAGTCTCCATGAGTGAATGGCAGTGCTTGTCCAGGGTCAGGGCTTGTTGAGGGAAGAATGGAGTCAGCTGCACAGAAGTCACCCTGTGCCACCAATGACAAACAGACGGGAACTTCTGGGCTCTCTGAGCTGATGGCTATGTCTGGCCCAGATGGTGGGGCTGAGCTCCAGGGCTCCTAGGGAAGCAGTAGCCTTGTCACTCAGAGTGGGGTCCCAGACCTGGGAGCTTATTAGAAGTAGAGCCCCTCAGTGGTGGCCAGGCCCTACTGAGCCAGGGTCTGCGAGTGAGCCAAGGAGCTGTGTGTGCACTGAGAAGCACAGGCAGAGGCAGAAGCCGGGCTCTGACGTGGGACATGCCTCAATTCAAGTCTCAGCACCATGTGGAGTGACCAGGTCGGTTTCCAAACTAGAAGGGGCCTCCCAGGATGTGGGACTTCCAGAGCTAAAACCTGGTGAGTTGTAGCCAAGCCAGCACTGTGGGTCACCCCAGCACCCTCACTTGTTGGGTCTATGACAACCGGGTTAAGAGTCATAAAATAGGTCCTAATAATGCTACTGCTGGGGTCACTCTGAGCGAGTCAATGAGGTTGTAGTTCGTGTGTTGAAAAGGGCTGTGGAATCTAAGAAAACCTGTAGTAAAGGCAATTCAGGACCGGTTGCAGTGGCACACACCTGTAATGCCAACCACTCCAGATGCTGAGGCAGGAGGATCTCAAGGTCAAGGCCAGCCTCAGTAACTTAGCAAGACCCCGTCTCAAAATAAAAAGGGCTGTGGATGGAGCTCAGTGGTAGAGCATCCCCAGGTTCAAGCCCCAGTGGCACCATAAGAAAAAGGTAGCTTGGGTTAGTCCTGTTACCCCACCCTCATGAGTCATCTCCCCGGTTCATTTCAGCCATCAGGAAATCCCTCTCCTTTTTAGAGAAATAGTCAACTATCAAAATGAATGACAAAACTCTGTCACTGAGCTGCTCAGTGAAATCCCCTTACAAAGAATGTCAAGGGAACATCTAAACCCACACTGCTGACCGAATCTACCACATGAACTAAGTGGTGTGGACATATTCTGGTTATGTAGAGCTTGTCACCATCTGCCATTATGGGGATGGCCATGCAGGGCGTCCACAGCAGATCAGGGAGGAGAGGCCTACTGTCCGGCTCTTGGACCCCACGCCTTCCCCAGGGCCTCCCCTGCCTGCTGAGCTGTGGCTCTTGCACAATAGGCCCTTCAAGCACAGCAACAGCTTGCAGATTAAACATCTCCGGGAAAACACATCAGTTTACAAACTACCCAGCAAAAGGCCACAGACCCAAGAGCTCTCTGGGATTAGTCACACCCAAAGCAAATAAAGAAGCGAATAAAGGAGACTAACAAAGAGCAGGCCCAAGGTTACCCGGCCCGAATGTGCGCACAGGGTCTCAAAACTCCAATCCTTAGTTGGTGTTCAGCCAGGGAGCCCTGGCCAACATCCAGACATGGAAAGGCCATAAAATGGGAATAGGGTCATTAAGCGAGCAGCCTGGAACATCTTTGGTTTTGACAACAATGCGGGACCTCATTGAAGGGGGAAGAAAGCAGCAAACCATCTTGACCTCTCATGCGATGTCACAGAAATGAGTACTCTGGGGGTTCCAGCTGCCAATCCCTACCTTAGCTTTAGAAGTGACATGTGAGTGCTCAAGGTGCCGTCCCAAAACCAGGGCAGCGAGTTTGTTGGGGGAAACCCCTGGCAGGGGGCAGAGTTCATGTACACAGTCCAGTCTGAGGATCCCTGCTGGGTCAGGTCTGTACTCTACTGGGCCCAGCTCTACAGTGACATGATAAAGTCCTCTAGGGTTAGTAGGGCAGGCACCATGCTTCCCATTTTACAGATAAGAGAAGAAAGCAACAAGACACTCTTCCACTGTGAGGGGGCCGGGCAAAGAGCCCAGGTGGCCTGATGTGCACAGCGCCAGGTTTGAAGGTGATCATTCATTGAACAAATGTTGGAGGGCCCGCTCTGTACTCAGCCCTATTGTAGGTGTTTGGAATACATCGCTAAACAACAAAAGGCAGATCAACAAAGCAAAAAATCTGTCATGTGCAGCTCACATTGGAGCTTCTATATATTTATTTAAAGTAACATGAATAGTGGGATTAGGTTACACTGAATCCTACAGGCTTCCATCTGAGCCTCTTAGCTATTTGACAGATATTTAAGAGGGAGGAAAATGGAGGCCCCAGAAGATGAAGTGACTTGTTAGTGATTCTCTAATTATTAGGGACATGACTCGGCTGGCCTCTGACACTTAACAGGTCCAGGACTTGCTTCTCATTATAGAATCACAGTCCATAACCCACAACACCTAGCCAGGGGCAGCAAACCACAGGGCAAATGTGGCCCAATGCCTATTTTTGTGAATAAAGATTTATTGGAACATGGCCCTGTCCATTTGGTTACTTATTGTGCCCAGCTGGTCTCCTCAGTTCTCTGAGTAGTTGTGACAGAGGTCATCCAGCCCACGAAGCTTAAAATATTTACTGTCCAACTCTATGCAGAAAATGTGGGCTGATTTTTACACTAAGAACCTTATTTTAGGGGGAAAAAAAAGGCCAAAATGGTAATAATGATATAATTAGAAGTGAACACTCCCAAGTCCATCTGCCTGCTGCCACCTGTCTGACTGTGCCCATCCCAGTCCCCTCTCTGCACCTGCCGCGGGGGCGATGCTCCCTGCTCTAGGCTCCTTCCAGCTGTGCTCATCCCAGCCCTTCCACCTCCCCAGACCTGCTGCAGCCACACCTCTCCCTCTCTAGTTCCTCCTGGACAAATTTAAAATGTAAAACAGCTTCAACTCTCTCTGATTTGGGTCTCTCCTTGCTTTTCTCCAGGGAAACAGATAATTTGATGACTAAGCTCTATCTGGGAAAAACATTAATGGTGTTGGACCACAGGGAGGACTGTCAGGGACTGGAGATGTTGCCAATTACACTGGGGTGGGCTCAGGTTAGGCAGGCACTGGACTCCTCTCTCCCTTTCTCCTCCCTCCCTCCCTTCCTTCCTCTCTTCCTCCCTCTTCCCTCCCTCACTGCCTTCCTTCCTTCCTCTCTCCCTTTCTCCTTCCCTCCCTCACTGCCTTCCTTCCATCCATCTCTCCCTCTCCCCCCTTCTCTCCTTTCTTCCCTCCTATATTCGTCCAGTTCCTAGTATGTCCCAATTCTGGGTTTTGAACTGTAAAGATGTTCGAGTCTCTCCAAGGCCAGGCCAGTGTGAGAGGCCGTGACAGAGACGTGCCCCAGATTGCCACGGGAGCCTGGAGCAGGTGCGTCTTCATCTTGGGGTGAGAGATGGAAGAAGCCAGAGAAGCTTTTTTCAAGGGGCGGTCACTGAGCCGACTTTCAAGCGGAGCAGGCACTCCCTGGCAGAGGAAGGCGGGAAAGGCCTCGCAGAGAACCGCAAGTGAGGAGACAAGGCGACAGGAAACAGCACCGGTGTCCTCTGAGCAAGCAGCCACCGCCAGGAGAGGACAGCGTGGGCAGGGGGCAGATGAGGAAGGCTTTGGGTGCTAAGTGAAGGGAACCAAAGTGATCCCAAGATAAAGGCCCACTGAGGATCCAGGAAGGAGCTGAATGGTCCCAGGCAGCCACCAGGAGGATGGCACCAGGGCAGCTGCAGGTGGCATGTGCAGGGTTGGAACTGCTACCAAAGCCCCGCTGACTGACAGCCCCCTGAACCCAACGCACAGAGGAGAGACCTGGGCCATGTTCTAACAGCTCGGCGGCACGCGATCTCATTTAACATTTGCTATCTCACTTAAAAAGAAGAAGTTAAACCCAGAGCTTAAGAATCTGCTCGAGGTCACCACCTAGGGGGTGGCAGAGACAGGATTCCGACTTGGGGGGTTTGACCCCAGAGTCGGAGCTCCCAATCACCGTTCTACCCTGCCTGAGGTCTTAAGGTGAAGACAGTGAGGACGGATTCAAGAGGGGCCAGAGCGGTGGACACTGGTAGACGCTGCGGGACTCGGGGACTGAGTAGGAGACAGGGAGGAGGTGCCCCAGGTTCTGGCCTGGATGGGCCTGACTGGGAGGGCAGTGCAGGGGGCCCAAGAGAGGAGTATAGGATCTGGCAAGAGGGAAGAGCTGGGAGTTTGGGCAGGTCCTTGGAGGTACCTGTGGGCGTCTAGGAGGTAACTGGACATGCCAGTCTGGAGCTCAACAGAACGCTCTTGGACTCAGGGAGAGATCTGGGTTGGTGCTGAGGCCCTGGACATGGCAATGGCCTCCAGAGACAGCGAGCAGAATTCAAGGACCACAGAGGTGGAGGAGGGGGGCTGATGGATAAGAAGTTTTAAAGAGGAAAGGGGTACAAGAGGGCCCTGGAACAGCGCAAGAGCTTTCTGGGAGGCCGAGGGAGGAGGGATGGGCCTGTGTGTGTCTGGCAGAGGACGTGCACCCTGAAGACGCGGAGGGACACAGGCAATGGAGGAAAGCTGATGAGTGGGCGAACCTGGACTGAGAGGCAGGGGTCCGGTGGGTAGGAGGCTGGGGCCAGGGACCTTACCAGCCCCACCCACTGCCAGGAGGGGGGCCTCCCCTCCCCTCTGCCCAGCACTCTGTGGCACCAGAGCCCTTATCATGCTTAGAATCCCCCTCAGCTGGACATGTGTGGTCAGGGCAAGGCTCCTTTGGCTCTGTGCCCTGGTCCTGCACCTAGCACCTGTCCCACGAAAGTGTCCTGAACCTGCCTGTGGGAACAGGGAGAGGCGTGGGAGTGCAGCCTGGGCTGGCAGAAAGGGCCCCTGGCTGAGCCTCAGCTGTGGCCGTCCCCTCCAGTTCTTCCCTTCCCTGGCTTCTACTTCCCTCCGTGTGCCCTTTAGAGACACTGGCCACCTACTTTCCCAGGGCCTGAGTAGCCTGTGAGACAGGTGAGTGGACGGGCGGGGAGCAGTGGTCCAAAGCTGAGGCTCCACAGGCCTGAGTCCTCGCTCTGCTTTGAGGGATGGAGTGGGAGTTTAGGGCTTCCTCCTACGGGTTATGTCATACAAAAATCCGGGAAAAGGAGGCCACAGTCTACAGGATGGCTGGTCCAGCCTGGGAGCCATGTGCTGGGGTTGGGCTGCCTTCACTTGGAGGATTGCTAGTTCAAGGCCAAGACTACCACCACCTTCAAAGTGTCTGTTTGGACTTCTTGAAAAGAGTCTATGGTTTCGCTTCCTCTTATTAGGAAGGAGTCCTCACTGGATGGATCCTGAAACCAAAGAGCAAGGACTCTCTCTTCTTCCTCAGGGAGATGCTGTGACAGGATTCCTTGAAGAATCAGATTGGAATGCAGCTCAAAGCTGTGGGGGAGGGAGGTGCTCTCTGCGGGCTACCCCCCATGGCACTGTATGCCTCTGAAGTCCCCGTGCGCTCTGGCTTTTGGGTGGAGAGGCCAGAACGTGTGGCATTGCCCAGGTGTTTCCTGCCAGCTGTCTCAGCAGGCACCCCCAGTTTCAGCAGATGCAAAGGGCACCCAAAGTTGAGCTTCCAAGCAGGAACTGCATCCTGGGGTTGAGGATAGAGGTTCCAGGGCCAGTATGGATGTGACCTGACTATTTCCCCATCTAGAGAGGACATGCCACCCTCTCCCCTCATGCTGAACAGAGTCCCTGTAGCCATTTAGCACAAGGTTGGGATGGCACCAGATAGTTGCTACCTGGGGCATGACAGCACACATGCCCAGCTCAAGTCCACTAACAAAGAGCTGTCATGGCGGGCTGCTGCTGTCCACACCTGCAGAGAGACCTGGCTCCTGAGTGTGGGAGGACCAGGCCAAATCCCACCCCTCAGCACAGTGCTGATGTTCCTGAGAGGAGAGCAGCAGTGTCCTAACTCCCAGGGCCCAGACTGGACAGCAATCACAGATCCTGCAAGCCCTTTACTTAAAGACGAGGACACAAGACCCAGAGTGAGAAACAGCAGGCCCAAGACCACACAGCCAAGGGACAGGTCACTACTAAACAGGTGTGGGGAGCGCAGGATTCCTCAGAACCGGGGTATTGGTTTTGAGTCAACCCAGGTTTCTTCATGTTCAAGGTCTTGCAGAAGAGAGAGCACACGTGAGTGTGAATGTGTGTGCTTGAGTGTGGGTGGAGGTGGGTACTATGGGCATTCAGCCACATTGGCAGGTGCAGAGTGAATGCTCCTTGCTGTCCGTGTGTGGATGGTGGTCACAGCAGACTGAATGCTATGTTCACCCAAATTCACATATAAAAATCTAAGCCCCAAGGTGAGGAGGGTATTATGAGGCCTTCGGGAGGTGATCAGGTCATGTGGGTGGAGCCCTCATGGACAAGATTAGTGTCCTCAAAAAGACACCCTGGAGCACTTCCTTGATCCTTCCATCTCTGGGGACTCAGCCAGAGCTCTCTGTGAGCCTGGAAGAGGCCCATCACCTGAGTGTGGATCTACTGGGGCTTTGATCCTGGGCTTTGCAGACTGCAGAACTGTGAGAAATAAATTGCTGTGTTATCTGTTTTGTGTGGCACTGAGGATTGAGTCCAGGGTGCTCTACCACTATGCTATATTCCCAGCTCTTTCCTTTTTACTTGAGACAGGGTCTTGCTAAGTTGCCCAGGCTGGCCTTGAACTTGCAATCCTCCAGCCTCAGCCTCCCAAGGTGTTGAGATTACAGGCATGCGCCACCAGGCCCAGTTATTGATGAGCTACCCAGCTTCTGATATTTTGCAATAGCAACCCACATGGGATTAAGACGGTGACTGTAGAAAGCACGCCGAGGGCTTTCGGCTGATTTGTCTCCTCCCAGAAGTCACATGACGCAGTCCTGACTCTCCATAGTTCAGAAGGTGAGTGTATTTGGAGAAGACATCAGACAATTAAGGTAAAATGAGGTCATTATAATGGGCCCTAATCTGATAGGACTGCTGTCCTTAGCAGAGAGATTAGGACACACACGAAGAAGGAAGACCACCTGAGAACACAAGGCGGAGATGCCATCTGAAGCCAGTGGGGGAGGCCCCAGAGGAACCCCCCTGCCAACACCGTGATCTTGGACTTCCCCTCTGGAATGGAGAGGAAATAAATTCCGGATGCTCAAGGCACCAGTCAATGGTATTTGCCACAGCTGTCCTGGCAGAAAAGGGCCGAGTTTGAGAGACAGACGTGGTGGGGTGACTGGAGACCGGAGCTGGGGCCTTGTAACAGGAAAAGAAAGAATGGTTACAGCTGGCTGCTGCTGAGGGTTAGAGTCTTGGCCCTTTGCCCCAAGCCTCTTGTCCCATCTGTAGGAAGGGGGATGTGCCCAGGCAAGTCAAAAGGAAAGCCACAGAATGGCCAAGGAGGACATCTTCTTGTCATATGAGGGCGAGACGGAACATCTGGGGGTGTTCATCTGGAGAAGAAAAGGGTCAGAGAGGCAGAGACAGAGTGGGTAGGACATGGACTCCTGAGATCCCTACCTGGGTCTGATGACAGGTTCTGCCACTTGCCAGCTGTGGGACCTTGGGCAAGTTACCCACCCTATCTGTACCTCAGTTTCCTCTTTGGAAAGGGGGATGAAATCTCTATCTCCTTACTGCGGTAAGGACTCAGTGAGTGAATATGTGTAACACGCTTGGAACACCATCGCGGAGTGCTGTATAGCTGTCAAGTTTGCACAAAGGTGTGGCCGGGGTGAGAAAGCAAGCTGCAAAGATCCGATAGTCATGCGCCTGAGACACAGGATGGAGAACAAGGGCCAGGAGGGGAGAGAGGAGACAAGCCTGAGTGTTGGCTGCGTGCCTGGGGGATGGCAGGATCGCAGCAGAGGAGCTGGGGCGTCGGAGAGGAGAGCGGAGACCAGGGCTAGGACCAGCGGGCCCTCTCCCCAGTCTTTTTCCTCTGCAGCACTTACCTTGCCCGAAGCGAGCCGTCCGGTACACCTCCTCGGCGCCACGGAAGCCCAGCATGCGGCACACCACGTCCCCGTCCTTCTTGTCCCAGCCATCATCGCACACGGTGCCCCAGCGCCGGTCGTGGTACACCTCCACGCGGCCCTCATGCAGACCGGAGCCATTCACCAGGCGGATCATCGTGACGTCCGCACCACCTGCCGGAAGACTGAGTCACCACCTGGGTCTGGACCCCCACCTGCACCTCCTGACTCTCCTCCCTCCAGGCGGGAGGAAAAAGCAGGCTGGGCTGCAGCCACAGAAACAGGGTGTCCCTGCTGCCCGCGGTCAGCCTCCTTCACCCCCATTTCCTTCTTTTCTTTCTTTTGTTGTTGTTTCTAAAACTTTCAGGTTCTCAATTGGCTGGAAGGTACAGAGATCAACATCCCCCGCCAGAATGGGACATTTGTTACAAATGACAAGCCTCCATTGATTGACACCTTGTCATTACCTGAAGTCCACAGCTTCCCCCTAGGTTCATTCTTAATTTTGCACATTCTGTGGGTTTGAACAAACGCATGATGAGACGTGCCCACCATCACTGTGTCACACCTTGTAGCTCCAGTGCCTGAGAACCTCAACCCAGCAGCCACGGAGCTTTGCCCTCTTCTGTGGTTGCCCCCATAGTTCTCAATTCCAACTTGAATCAAGCTGCATGCAGCCTTTTCTGACCGGCTTCTTTGCCTGAGCAAGACTCGTTCACTTTTCCTTCGTGTCTTCTCACGGCTTGCTAGTTCCATTCTCCCCAGGGCTGGTCAACATTGTTTGGAGAGGCTGCAGTGTGTTTATCCATTCACCCACCAAAGGGCATCTCGGTTTTTCTGAATGAATGAAGCTGCTATAAACATCCATGTGCAGGTTTTGGTGTCAATGAGAAGTCTGAACTCATTTGGGTAAATACCAAGGAGTGAGGCTGCTGGGTTCCTCTTGATCTTTTGAAGCCTGGTGACCAGGCAGCCACACTTGTCAGGGAGGGGGATGTAGGAGGAACACAGAAAACCAAGGGACAGTTAAGGCTGTGGGTACGAAAGTGCTTGAAGCCAGAGAGACCTGCCTGGGTGTGGATTCTGACTCTGCCCCTGATGCTCTGTGAGAGACAGCGAGTGGTCGACCAAACCTAGACGCCCCTTGTTATGAAGCACCTCCCTATTTTAAATACCATTAAGAGGGGAACCTTTGCCAGCTATGGTGGCAAATGACATCAATTGCTGGATGCTTTCTGACTTCAGAGATGCCGAAATGTATGTCACAGAATCAGTGAAATTTAGTGATATTCAAAGAGAGCTCTGAAGGTGCCAGACTCACTGGGGCCTCTTCTTTTTTTCCTACTCTAGTGACCTTACGGAAGTCTTCTGGCCTCTCTGAGGGCATTTCCCCCACTGTGAGATGGGGACAACCCCTGCTTCACAGGGGTGTTGTGTAGATGGCTGAAATCATCTCTATCAGCAGTGCGTCACATGGCAGGGGACTGTGCCACATCAGGAGGTTGACACAGAAGCCTCAGGGTGAGGTCAGTGTGCGTGGGGGTTGGCAGGAGGATGCTGTGGGTTCTGGCGCAGGCGGTATGCAGGATGTCAAGTCAGAGTCACAGTAACAGGAAGAGGCCAAAAGTGACACAGGTATCGGGGCTGACATTTAGGTGCCTGACAGCCTCTCTGCTCTGGCCAGCCTGATCTCACTCCATTCCTTTACTCTTGTTGGCAAATAAGGGACTAAGCATCTGATGGAGAGCAGTGGGTACGACCATGAGGAAGGACCCACCCTCGTGGGGCTGGTGCTTCAGTGGGGGAGACTGGCAGAATCCCGAGTTCACAAGTAGTGACAGATGGGAAGAGATGGAAAATGTCATTTGAATGATGACAATATTAAATTCCCTGGAGATTTCAATGTATATGGAAGTGGCAAAAGAATATTTGGAAACAGGACAATTTCAAAAAATTAGAAACATGTGGTAACCATAATTACGGAACTCACAGCGTCACATTCGAGGATGTCCCTGGCCCCTGGCCCATGTTCCTCATGCACCAATTAAAGTTATGACCCCCTAGTGGGCCACTCTCTTTCAACTAGTGCCACTTGACCTCGGGGACTGAGGCAGTGTCCGGGGTTGGGGGTAAACTAGAGAGCACCCCACCCAGACCCCAGTGTCGCTTCATCAAACCTTGGAGCTGGTTCCTCATCACTTGTCTCCGGGTCCCCAGACTCCAGGCTGCTCCCATGGTGAACTACCCCCAGCCCATTGGGTCAACAAATGCTGCATGCCCCAGAAAGGTGTCACCTCCCCTGGATGCGATGTTGCTCTGGCTTTATCTTATAGAATATGGTCCTAGGGTATATTTTTCTGTATCCTTTCTTCCCCTAACAGAATCTCAGCTCTGTCACTACCTCCCTGGGAAAACGTAGGCTGAGGTTTGATTTGTTTATAATACCGACTGCCCCAATTTAAGGACGTGGCAATCCAGGGGGCTGGTCCTTGAACAAGAGGTATAGGGAGGCATCCTGCAGGTGAATGGCACTTTTTCTAGGCCAGCAGCAAGGCCACGTCCAGCAGGGTACTTGGGGAGTCACCAAACACACTCTAGCAGCGACCCCAGCACTAGCCTGAGAAGCATGTCATGACTTGCTGAGAGATTTGGGTTTCTGTGGGCAGAGGGTTTCCATTTGGCTTTTTCCCAGCAGTTTCTGCCCCAGGGCAAAGTTTTCCCACTGAGCAATCAAACACTGCCCGGAAATGCTCTCACCCCACAGTTGATGCGTCAACTCCCACTTACTCAGACATGGCGCCTGAGAGGCGGCCTCGGCCTGGTTGTGACCTTCCCAGGACACTTGTTAGTCTAGGGAGCTTCTTCCTCACCTCAGATGCCCAACCCTGGTCCCTGAGCATGTGGGCTACTTGGGGTCAGGGAGATGCCTCTTTTTGCTCAAGCAGCGGTAAGAATGGAAGACAGGGATTCCCACTATGTGAAACTCAGGCACTTCTCAGGAAGGTATGGTCCAGAGAGAGAGCAAAGGGCTAGAGCGTCCATGATGAGCAATGGGAGCCCTGGGCCGGAGATGGCATTCACTTCCCTTAATACCTGCCCTCCACTGATGGAGAGGCCCCCTGCCTCCTTTGCATCCCACCTTGGTGAGCCCTGGAAAATCCTTCCTGAACAAAATGAGAATCAGCAACCCCAAGGAAAGCACTGCTCCTCCATTCCATGTGGGTATCTAATTTGGATTCATGGGTGAGGGTCGTGAATCCAAATCAGAATATAACACAATTCCTCTTACTCTGGGTCCTTACCCCAGACTGGGGTCCACCTGTCCACGTGTCTGCCACTTGCAAGTAGGGAAGACAGTATTGACCACAAGGCTCATCCCTGCCCAGCTCTGTGCAGGAGTGGTATCATCAGCATTCCATCTCTTGGCTGGAAAACCCAAGCTATGAGGAAATGTGAATAGCTATTCCTTACCCAAAACATGGAGGATAATGAAGGTTGTTCCAACTTGACAGTTTGTTAAAGCAGGCTTGGCTTGTGCAGAAACTCAGCTCACAAGTCTAGAGAAGGGTTTGTCCTTGTAATATTCATCCTGCCCCCATCCCCATCCTTGGCAGAGACACCCAGATGTCCACAGGGCTGGGTCTCTATTCTTCTTGTACCTCCTGTCCTGGTGGCCCATGGTCCCCACCAACACCCCGGGGCAGAGAGTCTCCCCTTTTATACAGAGCAGTCAGAGAAAAGTGCTCTCAGTTCCAGGCTCAGCCCAGAATCATCACTGCTTGGTCTGATGAGGGGACTCCAGGACAGGGGGCAGGCTCCTGTCCTTGAGAATCAAAGCAATCGTCACCCCCCCCCCCCCCCCCCCCCCCCCCCCCCCCCCGCCCCACCCCC